TCGAGGTCGAGTGGACTACGAGTTAATAGCCTATGAGGCCGAGTCCGCGAGGCCGAATGGGCTATTAGCTTTTAGTATAAACATACTAATGGTCTATCACTCATACTGCGCTGTGATTGGCTACTCTACTAATGGTCTAATTTGTGATAGACCACTCGCGGGAAAATCAAAATGGCGGCATCTCATTAATAAATTATTTTAAGGATATTTCAATTTGTTTTCATTATTTGACCTATTAGTATGTTTATACTAAAACAATTAGACCTCTCGGCCTCGTGTACTACGAGCTAATAGCCCATGAGGCCTCACGGACTCGGCCTCATGGGCTATTAGCTCGTAGTCCACTCGACCTGGACATGTCTAATTGTTAAATAGATCAATGTTGCAACTGTACCAGTGACATTTATTGTCTTGCCAAGATCAACTTGTAGCCATTCACCCGCTCTTCCCGTCGACGGTGACCATGAGCTCCACAAATGCCTAAGTCGTCCACTCCACGCTGCAAAATTGGAACTGTATTCGGTTGAAGCGGTTATACTTGAGTTCGATATTGCTCCATTTTCCATACCAACAGGTGGTGTGACGTTACATCCTAAACAACCGTAAAATCAGTCACTTAATTACTAATTTGCTCAGTATCTTTAACTTCATGAACGCTTTAGATTAAAARATTTATTTAGAATAAATCGAAGAATTGTTAGCTTGACATTAATTTACCTTTCTCACAATTGGCTCCATAGAAGTAATAGGTGCAGTTACACGTGTGGACACCGCCCTGTTCATTGCATGAACCTCCGTTTTGACAAGGAGAAAGATCGCACACAGTGAAATATTCTGTTAATCACACGATTGAAGTATGTGATCATTATTAACATCATTTTCATCATTGGCAGAAGTTTTCTAAAACACTATACCTTACGCACAAATCACCCTTGATGCGACGATAAGAAGAAGTACAATGATAATAATAGAAAAATTACATTTACATTTACAAATTATTATTTAGTTTATTTTATATTAATCAGTAAAGACTGAATCACTTAGTGAAGCGATGACGAAAGAATGCCACAATCTGACTGGAAATTGATGCAAGTACTGGATGGACGATCCATCATGAATCTATGACAGCATCGAACCAACACCTTTCCAGATCTGAAAACCTTATGCTAAGTAGCAATTTGTATCATACCGAGTGTTGTTTTGTTGCAATAGGCCATAAACGGCACATTTGACCGCGCATGGTCAATAATCCAATGACGACCGCTGACATTCCCGACAGTCTTCACGATTTCAGCACAGGAAACCGCTGGCAAGTCTCTGGTTGTACCGACTGCACCTAAGACATTCCATCGTGAGATTAGACACATGCATTGTGCATCTGTGAAATGATTACATTTTACCTCGATAAGGATTGTCAAAGTAAGAAGTAAAAGGAACATTCACATAATGTTT